CGGTTCATCCGCAAGCACGAGGCTAGGGTACGAGCCCACCCAATCTTGCAGTAGCACTTTACACTTTGCAGGTGGGAAGCGCGTGCCGAACCGCGAGGCAGAATTATTTAGATTATTTAGTATTGTTTTCATTACAACGGGATCAGATCCCAGAAGAGCTATGTCGTCAGCGTACTCGATGTCTGTGAGCGGAGGCCCAGGGAGCACTTCGGCCCCACAGGCATTAGAGGCTGGTAGTGAGTCTTCCATGATCGTATCAATGACGAAGTTGAAGAGGAAAAGTGAAAGAGGACAGCCCTGTCGGACACCACTTGATGTGGTAAACTCAGGAGAGAGCTTCCCGTAGACCTGTACACGGCCGCGGGAGTTGGCGTACAACGCCTTAATGAGGGTCAAGAATTTACGGGGGACACCTTTGCTCCGCAAACACTGCCATAGTGCTTGGCGGTCAACAGAGCCAAAGGTAGTTTTCAGATCAAGAAAAACAACCATTGTTGGTTGCTGGAAGCAGTGTCGCTGTTCCAGAATCTGTCGGAGGGTGAAGATATGATCGATGCAACCTCTTGCAGGACGGAACCCAGCTTGGTTTTCACGGATCTGCCTCTCTCTGTGTTCAGTCAACCTTCGAAGGATAAGGCCGGAGAGCACCTTCGATGCCACAGCTAACAGACTGATGCCACGGTGGTTTTCACATTGCGTCCTCATACCCTTTTTGAAGATGGGGATAATCGTTGACATGCCCCATTCTGCAGGCACTTTCTCTTCGCCCCATATAGCACCAATAAGCTTTGTCAAGTGGGTCACCAGGGAATTTCCGCCTTCTTTGAAGAGGGCTGGATACAGACCGTCCGGTCCTGGTGCCTTCTCACTGTCGTATTGTAATGATTCATTCCCATTCGTAATTCTTATTCCATTCCAGCCACAAATATTGCCGTCACTAATATCATCGCTTTTCGACAATCATTCTTTATTCTTTTCTTACTATTCCAATCCCCGTTAGTATTCCTATTCGGCCTAACTATGACCGCTTAAATCAACAGTCAAAACAGTTGCACAAAAGGACGGGAGATTTCCCAACAGTTACATTTTTAGAATCAAATTCGGTAGAAAAAAAAACAGTAAAGCTTTGGCAATTTTTCGCAACCTTCCGCAATGGCAAATCACTTTAAACTGCGGGTCTGAAACTATGGGCGGACCAAAAAGATCCTTTCCTCGTGACGACCACTCAACTAGGGAGTTCTGGTCGATAATCACCTTAGATCAATTGATCGACTTAACTGATGACAAAAAGTAAGCTATTTTTAGCATCCGTGTAAAAAAATCGTAAACTTGGTCGCTCGATTGAGGCAATAGGCGCGGAAAACTTTAAAGGAAACTACACATAGGTCGACGTCACACAAAAGACATCAACAGAGTGCACTAGTCTCTGACGTAGCAACTTCGCCTGCTGACGGGAAGAGCACGTTTCTCTTGAAAAGACTCGGATTCATACACTGGGTCGTCAGTTTGGAGAAACAATGGTTTGTGTAACTATTTCTTGAATTCTAAGAAAGCCAGTGACAAAACAAGGACTGGAGGTCACCCAGACTAGGTGTACACCTCTGCGAAAATCACCAAGTTCGGAAAAAATGCGTTCACCATCTACCAGTAGTCGGATCACCGTCTGAACAAGTCAACAACCGGTTGAAACCAAATGTTTCAGACCCAATTAAAAATCTTCAACTGCTTGAGATGGTCAGCAAGCAAGTGGTTCTGTACGAAACAGCCCAAAGCTGTCAAAACAGAACCATGTTTTCAGTTCAATTGATAGTCGCAATAATGGCAAGTTATGTGAACCCTCCATCTGAGAACTGGTCACTCGAGGATACATTCAACAAGTGACAATGTGATGTGAACTGCGTGACAGAAAGCTGCGCGAGGCAATACCCTCTCTAAGGGTGAGTCAAACGAACGATCAGTCGCTTGTGGCCGGACGGTGTGGGTTTGAATCACCCTGCAGATGTATGGGTTGTGTACAGCTGATAATTCACGATAAGGATGAAACCGTTGTACAGTGCTTCTCGAAATTGACTTTATTTACAAAAAAGACCGATTGAGAAATGAGGAAGGAGCTGGAGTGTTCGCAAGTGGCGGTTCGGAAACGGTTCAGCTACTTCACGTTCTGTTACGTGGTCTCCAGTTTTTTTTTAAACTGTACTGTGAGCAATTACGATGAATCAAGATGAGACAAGCTTATCAATCCCTTCCATTGCCGATCAACAAACCGCTTGGGACGTACGGTCAAACTGATCAAGCTGGGTTAGTGTGGGAGAGAGTAATTACAAAGGCGAATCCATCAATTCTCACTTTTATGAGCATTTGGGGGTGAACGAGGCAGATGGCTTACTTTTTCGTTGTCATCTGTCCGCTCAGCGGGTCTAGGGTGAGTTGCTTTTCGCCCCGAAAACGCTTTCGGAATCGTTTGTCGCGCATTCGTTGTTGGGACAGTGGAACCTTTAGGACTCGCGACAACGTTCGTAGACGATACAGTCCTCTGCCGTGGCGTCAGCTACAGAAAAAATAAAAACCAGCAGCTGAGCGTAACGAACATAGTCATGAAAGATTATTAGTTCAACTCAGATATGCAAATATTCAGGAAGTTTTCAATATCAACACGGAAAGAAGAACGTTGTGCGTCAATCACAGGCTGAGATATCGAATGCGCTCGAGCAAACTAATGGGTAAGTACATTCGAAAAACAGATAAAACAATGCGTCTTATGCAATTAACTTGTTCTAGCAACCATAACCGGTGCAGTCATAATGCCATAACAAGACCTGTTAAGGATTTAATAATCTAAAGCGGAGATGTCGACAACTTTGGGAACTCATGTGGTTTGCTACCCTAAGGGCAATAGTGATAAGACCAAAGTAGGCGGAGAGGGTTGATAACGGCAGATGATAGATCAATCGAAGTTACGGAATTCCAGTACTTCGTAACGACCCACGGTACTCATCATCATCGCCACGATCAACAACGCACAACCCAGAACATACCAGGGACTGACTGAAAGCTTGACGCAAGGACCTCCTTTGCAGTTCGGTGAATGTAAACCAACTTACGTATAATTTGTAAGGAGTTTCTGGTCGAAGTCCAAGCTCCAGTAGAGAGGGATTTGCAGAGTGTTTGTCAAAACCGTTCGTGTTTGGACATGACAGAGCATCTACGAGTCGAGTGAGCGGAGAATCGGAATGAGACAATGGTTTTGGGCTGGTAGATGGGGCAACAAACCAAGACTGACGAGCAACTGGGATTTCTGTCAATCCGGCAACGTCCTGGCGTAGCTGATTAAGGCGCCAATGGGGCAGCAGACGGAGTGAGTAGGAGCGAAATTCAATTGCTGACTGGCCGGTGGAGTCATCTTCATAGGGAACCAAAACTTGGAGTTCGATCGGTGAGGGGTGGGTCGTTTGTGGGCTGAAAACGTGGCAGATCGGACAGTCTACATAGGATTATGGAATCTGTAACATATACATACCACACATACATGTATATATATATATATATGTACATATATATATATATATATATACCATATTACTTCTTATATCTCGTCGAATTACGTCAGCATACTTAGACCGAGACTTGCATAAAATGCAGCCGAAGGCTCGAGCCCCACAATTTCTCGATAGCAGAGTGAATGCTTTGAATACGCCAAGTATGGGGATGTAGCAGAAACCGCTGGAGAAGGCTATTTATAAAATATCAAAGATAACGGTAATCCAGGTTGAACAAGAAACCATGAGGCGTAAACAGTAAACAAAAGTTGGAATAACGACGTACCTTGCAGATCGGGAGCTCCGCACCAACCGTGCAGACAATACGGTGGAAGTGGGCAGATGTAATTCGCGCAAGGTTACCTACACGAAAGGTAAAAATATATTCAACTATTATTAACAATAAATACAGACAAGTGACCGTTGGCTAATTCGGTAACACAGATTAAGTAAAACATTTACACGGTGATACGCGTTGGTGGACCACAATTTCTGGACCATCCGTATTTTCTTTTGAAAAGCAACAAAAGAAGCAAATACACCCCTGGAAATCGCTCGTAGTGATCGAAATGCTAACATTAAATTTAATCTCATGATAGCATAACAGTCATTCACAACCACGTTGAACCATCAGCCGAAGTTCAAGTGTTAGCTCAAACCGTCATCCTGGGGCAAGATAGTGGGGTCTTGAAACACGTACTAGCCACAAAAGTTTCAGCTGTGGTCACGTTAATCAATGGATTGAACCGAACCTTAGAAGCCACAGACCGTAGCCAACTCAACATTCCGCTGTCAGGTCATGACTTGCACCCTCCGCAGAGGTCTTCGCTCTGCATTAGTGCTATCAGCCCATACGTGTCAGAAGCCAGCCGGTAGAAATCAACATTGTGAGGTATAGCGTAGAAATTGCGAGATGATGATTGTCCAGGCAGCTTGCTAAGGGATTCCCTAGTACGACCACAAGAAGGTTACTCAACAAAGATTCTGAGAAGTCGTCGTCACCGGTTAACCTTAACCTAACGACATACTCTGAGAAATCAGCTAACCAGGCCACTAAACGAATCACACCAATATCAAAATATATCAAAGTCCCTAGTTTCACCTATAAAGCTAATCACGATTAGTATGGTAGTGAACCATATTTGAAGAATACATCCATGAGATCGAAGAGATCATTCAGTTTAAGTGAACTTCCACCAATGAGCCCGAAACACAAATCTTACGTCCAAAACGTGTCCAGAGTAGTTTGCTTCAATTTCCATTTGAACTGTATCGGATCTGTTTGAAATTTTCATTTGTTACTACCTTGTAGAAACTAACTGAGTGTGAATAGCCCCATTTATCGAATGATATGGGTCCTCTGCACTGCCGTCCCAGATGGGTTGGAGCCAGGCCAGGTACCGGTATAGTAATAACTCATTGTTTGCTGCAGAGTGAGACCGATTGCGACCTTTAACGTTGCTGTGAACCTCAATATTCGGATTTCTTCGCCACAACCACAGAAGGAACCGGCCGCAGTATCAAGTGTCGTAACTCGGCGCTTGTCGGTGAGTTCACATGGTCCTTAATGACGTTCACGTTCTCTAATTCAATACAGTGAATTCGAAGTGCTGTTGAAGGTGTGAAGACTCCCACTGTTGCTAACAGAAACATGGAAACTCAATACATAAGCGCCATAACCGGAATGTAGTGGAGTCGACCACCGGTGATCACAAATGAAGCGTCGTAAAAGGGACCTCCAGGCATTTATAAATAACGACTGGGCTATTCGGGAAACACAGCATATGCATTCTGGTTGAGAGCTCTCTCATACGGTGAAAAACTTAGGAGCGAAGACAAACCTCCTCCAGCATGGACGCTTCTTATAATGGTTTCTATAGGAAGCGTAATCACTGTAGCTCGATAAAAGAGGAGGCTATCGTGGACAAAATAACTGACCGGCCACTGGAAGCTGTGCGACAAATCAGCGGCCGGTCTACGCAGACGGTTTGATCCAGATTGTCATGATCACCATAATCACTGCGGACAGTAACACAAGCGATAGCGATGACCTTCCTATGGAATGATTCGTCGCCCCGTACTGTTTAAAAAAACAAGACCGTACAACGATTGTGCGGCATAAGCTTGACAGAGAAAGTAAGCCCCGTATTTTAGGCTTCCCACCTCAATAGCAACGCACACTTTGTCTCACTCTCAACAATATTTCAAAATTTACGCAATAGCTGAACCGGACCAAGACGCCGCACAGTTTAAATATTGCAGAAAATTTTGTTTTATTACAAAATACCACACGCCTTTTTCTACATGACTTCTATGCACTCACATTGAACCTGAATGCACGTGCGACAGCATGATGTGCAACTAGATACACTACATTTTCGAAATGCCATGGTATCGAGTAACGAATGTTAGGATTCCTTTGTCCACGGAACACTGCTCATAAGGTAACTGAAAACACTTCGCCAATCGACGAACGGTGTTGCATTTCTTGATGGTGATCAGGTAGGTGCAGTTCCTTATGTTGAAGTAGAACGTAAAGTTGATGGAACCACAAAGACTGCACCTACCTGATGAGCCCCAAGGCTAAATCGGCTGTAGAGGAGTGTTCAGCACCTTGCCGCCCAAAAGCTTCCGCCTCGACGTCGTGGTCGGACTTCATTTCTGCAATGATCAGGCGAGTTACATTGTCTGGAACTTTGTTCGCCAATGTGCAACCATGTCAGGAAAGCCGAAGGCGAGCAGTCAGAACATGAACAGCGAGACTCTGTACTATGAGTAATCAGACAAGACCCCTCAAGCCGTCTAAGACGAGCTCAGAGGGTTCACATTTCACTCTTAAGGTATCTGATAATCCTGGTGCAATGGATCGTGGCACCTACGGTGTAGGAGTTGCACTTAGCCCCCAAGTATGAAAGCGCCTTACTGGACTAGGTCCCAGTAGACTGTCTTCTTTGCGCTGTGTGGTTGTCTGGCTCGATTAAGATCAACGCAGGTCAGTGCGGTAAACAGTGCATTTTATCGGTGCTTGCTATCAGTTACCGATGAAGAGCCTCAGTTGAAGATTGTCGTTCCTCTTGAGTACACAACTTGACTCTGATCACGCCAACATGCGGGTCCGGTTAACACTTCGCTTTCTGTCAGCATTACGCGTGCCAGAAAAGAGCATGCCCGTTCGTCAATTTCGACAAGTTTCAGTTGTTGAAGAGTATCGAGGGGATCTGGCTAGAAAGCTACTGGAAACGCAGTCATGTGGACGACGATTGCTTGGAGGTTGAATGGAAGCAAATTAAGGAAACAGTGATATCAGCTTTCACAGCTTTTTGTCCAGGCCATCCGACTCGACCGAATGAACACTGGATATCTTTGAGATCAGCAGATCTTATTGCTGCCAGGAAGGCCATACCAGGAACCAGTGGCTACGATAGTGCATGCAGATCCCTCAAACACCGGTTAATAAGGGAGAATGAAGGAACGTTGGTGGATTCTGAAGGCCCAGAAGATGAAAGCTTTCGCTGCAGGAAACAGCCGCGACCTGTTTCAACTGACTGGATCAACCGGTCAAAAGGAAGCGAAAGAAAGTGAAAAATATGCGAAAGACGTCATCCTGAGTGGTGGGCTGAGTACTTCAAAGAACAGTTCAGCTGGTCTTCTCCAACACAACCACTGGAAGAACCAAGCGGGCTCGAATGGAACATTGACACCAACCCACCATCAGCAACCGAAATCCAGCGTGAGATTTCAATTCTGAAGCGCGACAAGGCACTTGGCCAGGATGGTCTACAGTCCGCGCTCCTCAAAAGAAGGTGGCGAGGTCCTGGTGAAGAGTCTGACAACCATACCGTAGAAGACTCGGAACAAAAATAGAATACCAGTCGAATGGAGCTCCTCGAGTGCCACCCCCGTTTTCAAAAAGGGAGCAAGAACGTCATGTGAAAACCATCGTGGTATAAGCCTGGCATTATTTTGCGCAGGTTGATTGATTATCGGGAGAGACGGATTCGTGAGAATCAAACTGAGTTTCACCCTGGTCGAGGATGCATCGACCATATCTTTACCCGGAGACGAATCCTTGAACAGCGCCAATCCTTCAGACGTCCCGTGTTGGTCGTTTTTCTTGATTTGGAGACTGCTTTTGATTTTGCCGATCGTCAGAAACTTTGTCAGTGTCTGGCGTTCAAATTTCTGTCACTTTTGAAAGCACAGCATGCAGACTCCTGTGGGCGCGTGCGAGTATGCGGTAAGCTTTCGCCTGGGTTAACCACGTTCAGTGGCGTAAGACAAGGCTGACCTCTTTTCCCTTTATTCATTAACTTTGTTATTAATATGCTGCTTGGTATTTCTGTCTGCCTCTGAAGCCTCGGGAGTCCAAATGCTCCCGGAACATTCCCACACAGACATTGAGTTTGCAGACGACATTACTCGCCTTGGTTCAGACCCTTCCCTAATACAAACGATTCTAAATAAACTGAATAACTCCGACGCACGGTTTGGCATGCGCTCCACACCTGCAAACTGAAAAGTACTGCTACAAGACCGGGTGGGATCATACCCACACATCAAAATTGCAAGTGGGCCAATCGACGTGGTAGATAAATTTGTTCAACTGGGCAGTTGTATAAGTTCCGCTGGACTAGCTGGAGATGAAAATGCTTCTCGAATCGGGAAGGGTAGATCAGCTTTGCCAACCTCCGACACCTATAGCACCGGCGCAACGTCAGTTTGTCTGTCAATGGCAGAGTTTACAGTGTGGTGTTGCGATCCATACTACTTTGGGAATCAGAAGCATGGCTCCCACGCGCAGAGGAGATACGGAAGATGTCAGTGTTCGACAATCAGTGTCTCCAAAGCATCGGTCAGATCTGATGGGAACATCGGATTAGCAATGCTGTGGTACGCCAGATGGTTTTAGCAAGAAGGAATTCTCCAACAATGGATGAAATACTCACACTTCATAGGTTACAACGGCTAGGACATGTACTCCACATACCAGAAGACCGTCTGCTTCGAGGAGCTCTTTTCGCCCGGCCCTAATGATAAGTAACAATAATAATCGTTCAGCTGTAACATCCTTCCGGTGTCCAGCTGCCATGCCACCCCAAGGAAGCACGACGGCTGGGATACTGCCAGGTTGCCCAAGCCTAGATAGAGGAAGTCAAGATGCAGAGATCGGATTCGAACCACGAACCTTCAGGTCAGTAAATTCGCGCTAACTACCGGGTCACCTCGCCCAGCCGTACGCTGAGTGGAAGCGACCAAGAGGTAGACGGTGCACAACCTGGCAACGAAGTACGAAAACACTAACCAGTGAACTTGGGTTGGTAACTGCCGCCTCCCTGGATGGGGACCCCGGGACTCAACTCACCCGGTATGGTGTGATGTGGATGTGGTGCTCTACATAAAATTCAGAAAGCACAACTTACTTGTATGGTTTACTGGTGGAGTGGTGCTGAAATTCATTTGTCTCGTACATTAGGTGGTCGGGGTTCAAAACCCGGAACGACCAAAAAGCGCTACTGATGAGCTTTAATAGCGAACCAAGTGTAGATGGAAAATAACATTCGCAATACGTCAGGAGATAGAGCATCCACACTGAGCTAGCATGCACAGGTATAAAAAAATATCACAATATCATTATAATTCATACGCATGAAGGTTCTAGCTTCATGAGAACTGCAAAGTCGCCGCCAAATACCTGGAAGACGTTTTATTGGGAAGGCAGTTGAGGCTCAAACCAGTAATCAATCGGAAAAAGCTCCAAATATTCCGAGGATTGAGGCACCAAGAAGGTAGATTAGTTGTGTCCCCTCAATTTCTTACGGACAAAAAGACTTTCGATTAGTCAGCAAATTGCCAACCAAGGACACAAGAACGGGAGCACCAGACGATAAAATCAACCAATAAGCAATGTCAACCAGTAAATTTCAGCTAACTCACTGAGTCATCCGTAAAACACTGGGTACCGGAGCCCTCAAAAGTCAGATGAGAAACCAAACGTTTTGAGGTCACTTCAGGGAAAACGGAAGCCCATTCGGGTGAAGTAGCTAACAAGGTTAGTTCCGTCAAATGCGCTTCCACGAAGTGTCGCTTCAACGAACCTACAGTCTCTGTATCTGGAAATGTGAAGCGCTCATGAACACTTCGTGGTTCGTCTTCTTTTACCGATGAAGGTATGTCAAGCTGGATGTCAAATTGCAGAAGTCGGACTGAACTGGATGAAAACAGTGGTCCAGTAGCTGCATCAGTTGCTGGTGGACCAGAAGGATTTGTCTGGCTGCCGGTTCCTGGAACTGAAGAGGTACCAAGAGTGGTAAACGAAGGGTCGGCACTAGGAGACGAGGCGCGTTGCTCAGAGGAGTTCCATCTGACTCTGGGTTGGTCGATGACAGCAGACCTACTCATCACCGGAGATGGAGGGTGTTCAGGTGGGGAGGAAGCGGATCCCAAAGCAGTGACATCAATATCAGCATCTACAACAGGAGAGGGATGGTACACTCATAAGCACAGTGCGAAATTTTGTAGCTACAAGATGTTTACAATCGATTTGAAAACTCCAACCACCATGGTTGTATTCACCAATGGAGAGAACAATACAAACGATACCGAGTGCGCACACTTTCAGTCAGTGTCTACACATCACAGGTCGGGGTAAAGATGCACTCACATTAATCTGTTCACCTCACGACCATATCTGCCAACACTACCTGCTAGCCAACAATAATCAACAGCTATCGGACCCTGTCAAGGGAAGCGAGCTGGGCATATAGGCTAGTCCTGTAGTGTTGCTTCAAATCTCTAAACCAAATTACCGGTCCAGAAAATCGGCTCGTTCGGTTTTGGGTTTAGTTTAGTTAGTTAGCTTGGGGCGAGATGGCTCAAGTGGTTAGAGCGCGACTTTACTGACTGGGAGGTCCGTGGTTCAAACCCAACCTCTACCTCTCGACTTCTACTGTCTAGGCTTGGGCAACCGGGCAGTATCCCAGCCCTCGTGCTTCCTTTGGGTGGCATGGCCGCTAGGCACCAGGAGGGTGTTACAGCTGAACGATTTTTTCAGTTGGTTAGCTACTTAGTTAGTTAGTTGACCTTTGACTGGAGAAATCGATAGAAAGCTACATACTGAAGTCAACCGCTAGAATATATGCGCGCCATTGAGCGCGCGATTGAAGCTGTCAGACAATGTCTCCAATCGCTGGTGTGTCCCGTCTCGGGGTCCCCATCCAGGGAGACGGCAATGATCAGCGCAGCTGAGTTGGCCGGTAATCACTGCCAAGTCATTACTCAATAAAATAATAAATCGTTCAGCTGCAACAACCTTTCGGTGCCTAGCTGCACGAGGGCAGGGATACTGCCAGGAGCAGTCCGGATGCTTAGGTTGGGTTCGAACCACGGACGTTCCAGCCCTTAAGCTGACACATTAATCACTGAGCTGTCTCGAGCCGAAGTCATTGCCTGACCTACCCTGGCTCGTTTCCACCCTTCGCGTGGTTGTGCGAAAAAAAACCGGTCGAGTGGCATATAGATCACGTAGCCAAATTGGCGCAACCTATGCAGTGTGATCAGCTCATGTATTGTGGGTGAGTTATTTCTTCCGAAGACTATTCGACATACTTCAGCAGTGGTGATGTAGTGTTCCCACCAGACTCAGGCAATTCTCTGAAGACGCTTACCGTCAAACACTAGAAGTCTTTTGATGTACTCAGCGCGCAGCGGTTAGGCTTCTGACCCACATAACACTACAAAGCGTACTGCAGGTTTGTAAGCTCGAACCTTGAGAGGTAAGCTTATGAAACCTATGCCACAGGTGGTGCAGGCTCACAAAAGCTGCATCGACCTTCCCTATCCGAATAGAAATATCATTATTCATGAGACCCCCTCAGCTGATACATCTGCCCAGATAGACAAATTCGTCTACTATCTTAATTTGCTCATCCGTGAAAATTAGTTTAGGGTTCTAACCCACCCAGTCTCGCGGCAGCCCTTTACAGCCCTTTACGTGTGAAACGCAAAACAAACCATAAGGCAGAATTACTTAGATCACTTATTATTTGCACCACGACGGCATTGGATCCAAGAACCATTTTTCAGCGTTTAAATACCTGTGAGCGAGTGCCCTGGTAGCATTCGATCCCACAGGTACTAGAGGCTTGGAGTGAGTCTTCCATAATCATATCAGTGGGGACAGTGAAGGGTGAGAAAGGACGGCCTTATCTGCACTATTTGATGTAGTGGACCCAGGCGAGAGTTCACGAGACCGCGGGAATCGGCGTACAGTGCCTTGAGGGTCAAGAATCTATTGGGCCAATCAATCAGTTATCAATTTATCAACTATAAACCATGTACCATAGGTACACTGGTCCCAGCTGCTACATTTTCGATCAGCGCGAAGCGGGAGTGGGAGACACGCCCAGGCATTAGGGGCGATGGCATGTTCAGTTGCTTTGGATATTGGGTAGCTACGCATTGAAGGCAATAGCATACCGCGGGCTACACTGGCTGGAACAAGGCTAAAGGGGTGCAGTAAGTTGAGGAGCTGCAAGACCTCGTACTATAAGTAATCACGCTAGGTAGTAATTTGAAACTATCATCACTATCATCATCAACAGCATGACATCAGTGTTCACCATCGATGTTTCAATGGTTCTGAAACAACAATTGTATAATAACTGAACACGTCTCCATTCCGCTTCTCGAATAAACCAAGTCTAACAGCCACACAACAAAACGACCCGCACTGTAGCTTGAAACACACGTCCTTTGAGATTCAGGGATAAACCATTCTGACGCCATAGGTGTCTCAAATTAGCAAACGCGACCCGGGCCTTGCAGATTCGTGCATTGACCTGATCAGTCATACTTCAATCAAAACTAGTACAAGTTCCAAGACAAAACGTACTACAACTTCCAGTATTTCTTCCTGGGTTTTAAGTGGCGCACTCAGTGACTGCACGTCTATGCGCATGACTTTGCACTTTGTGGGTGCAAAGTGCATACGAAAGGACGGGATGACTTTGGTCAGTTCATCCGAAAACACCTGCAACTTATCCCCAAGCAAGATGAGAACGATATCGCCTGCGTACTCCAGATCGACAAGGTTTCCTTAACAGGCTATTTTAACACCAGGGTTTTGGAGACCTTCCGGCGTTCGTCTCACTAGCTCATCGATCACGAAATTAAAAGAATGGAGAGAGCGGGCACCCCTGACGGACACCGCTTTGTGTACAGAAGATTTTGAATAGCTCACCGTACACTCTCACACGTCCAGAAGTCTGAGAATACAAAGAACGTATTATGTTCACAAACTTCCGGGGCATTCCTCGGTGGGCAAGCGCGTCAAGAACTAATCGATCAACCGAGTCGATGAGCCTCGGAAATCAAGGAATACTAGAATTGTGGGTCGTTTATACGTATGGCGTTGTTCTAGCACCTGACGAAGTGTGAAGATTTGGTCAACGCAACCTCTACCAGGCCGGAATCACACTTGCTGCTCTCGAGTCAGTGTATCACGGGCCACCGTAAGGCGACGAAGCACCAGTGACGCCAACAGTCTCGTTACAACCGCGGTCAAGCTGACCCCCCCCCATGGTTGCCACGAGCTCCTGTTTGAAAATGGGCACCATCACCGACTCCTGAGTTGTCTGGGATAGACTCCTCTTCCAAAATGCAAGCAAACAGATCAGACAAGCATTGACTGAGGACCTTTGAACAATGCGGATGGAAGGTCATCCGGACCGGGAGCTCGGTGACGCTTGAGAGAACATATGCAGTCGTAAACCTCCGAGGCCGTAGGTGGTTCCACGTTCACCGTCCAGGGTTCTACTTCATCTATGGGCTCTAGATGAGTGCCGGCTGGTGGCCACGACAGTTGTTGTTCGAAGTATTCGGCCCATCGGCCGAGCGTTCTTTATTCGAGATGTTCACTCCATTTCTATCCTTGATGGTTTCGCTTACAGGTGGTTTCCGGGGACCGGGCGCACGGATCAACTGAAATAACCTCCGGACATTATCGGCTTCCTGGGCCTCTTCCAACTCTTTGGCCACCACCCTTCACAATTGACTCGCATGCTCACTTTCACCTGACGATGATATTTTTTCGTATGCTGGGATATTTCTCCGAGATTTAACCAGTGCCACCGTTCGGTCTGATATCCACTGCTGTGTGCGCCTGATGGTGCCGTGCCACAGACAAAATTCCCAGCACTACGCATGGAGGCGGCAATCTCGTCCAACTATGCGTTCACATCTGACGGTGAGGAATTTGGAAGAGACCCTAGAAGACGATCCTGGCAAATTCGTACAACATCCGGATCTGCCCGTCTCTCAGTTGCCAAGCAATTTGTTCGCACCTTACGCGGCCCAGTGAAACGTACGTAGAAACCACTACGGACGAGTGCATGGTCATAATCCACGAATGTTTTCCAAAACGACCGGGAGTCAGTTATTGATTCGCGCCATCAATAGCTAATGGCGACGTGATCGAGTTGAGTTTGTGGTAGGTATGCGGCTGGGAGACACCATGTGGCCAGACGACTTCGGCTGCTTCGGAAGTCGGTACTGTATAAAAACAGTCGGCGATTAGCACACAGAACCGTACGTACGTACCGAGTCCGATCCATGTCGACCTCCTAATTGAGTCTCAGATACACCAAGTCTGCCCACTTGTGCATTCACATCTCCAGCAACCATCACGACCTCCGAGCTTTTAGTTCGCCGCAGCAGGGCATTCAGGGGGTCTTAAAACCTGTCTTTGACGGCGTCGGAGTTAGTCAGTTGGAGCGTAAGCGGGCACGATAAACAGACATCTATCAACTCCTTCACAGACGTTGGCTGACGAACAGGTATCCAGTCAAGCAAGGATACTTCCACTCGGAGACTTATGACGACATCAACCCCTGCACATCCCGCCGCAGCAGCTTCTGGATCACCAGAGGTGCGCTGCCGGAAGCTTTCTTTACGGGAAGCAATTGGATTGATGGGGCGGTTAGCTCAATCACTGTGCTTGCATCTTGAATTCTTGTTTCCGAGACACAGCATACATCAATGACTAGCAAGTCCAGTGTGAGAGGAAGGGCAGCTTGTTGTCCTGCTTGCTTTAGAGTGCGGACATTGAAGGCGGCTAGATAGCGATGCGGCATAAGAGGATTGTTAGTTGTAAGTGGGCTGGGATACTATTGGGATGTCCACACCTAGACAGGGTGCATTCACATCTCCAGCAACCATCACGACCTCCGAGCTTTTAGTTCGCCGCAGCAGGGCATTCAGGGGGTCTTAAAACCTGTCTTTGACGGCGTCGGAGTTAGTCAGTTGGAGCGTAAGCGGGCACGATAAACAGACATCTATCAACTCCTTCACAGACGTTGGCTGACGAACAGGTATCCAGTCAAGCAAGGATACTTCCACTCGGAGACTTATGACGACATCAACCCCTGCACATCCCGCCGCAGCAGCTTCTGGATCACCAGAGGTGCGCTGCCGGAAGCTTTCTTTACGGGAAGCAATTGGATTGATGGGGCGGTTAGCTCAATCACTGTGCTTGCATCTTGAATTCTTGTTTCCGAGACACAGCATACATCAATGACTAGCAAGTCCAGTGTGAGAGGAAGGGCAGCTTGTTGTCCTGCTTGCTTTAGAGTGCGGACATTGAAGGCGGCTAGATAGACTAGGTGTCTATTGATTTGAATATACCTGAGAATGTCGCACCGCGTGACGAACAGATGCTGCACGCAAAACCGACGAACGGGGTCATCAGTCCTAAGTGATGGGCCTACAAGGGGAGTTATTAATTGGGTGGGGAGAGGGGGAAGAAGCATGTGGAAGAGAAAGGAGGGAGGCGTCAGCAGTGGCCTCTTTTCGCTTACCCGCCCTGCTGTATGCAGTGAGTAAGGCTGATGGCCGATGCGGCATAAGAGGATTGTTAGTTGTAAGTGGGCTGGGATACTATTGGGATGTCCACACCTAGACAGGGTGCATTCACATCTCCAGCAACCATCACGACCTCCGAGCTTTTAGTTCGCCGCAGCAGGGCATTCAGGGGGTCTTAAAACCTGTCTTTGACGGCGTCGGAGTTAGTCAGTTGGAGCGTAAGCGGGCACGATAAACAGACATCTATCAACTCCTTCACAGACGTTGGCTGACGAACAGGTATCCAGTCAAGCAAGGATACTTCCACTCGGAGACTTATGACGACATCAACCCCTGCACATCCCGCCGCAGCAGCTTCTGGATCACCAGAGGTGCGCTGCCGGAAGCTTTCTTTACGGGAAGCAATTGGATTGATGGGGCGGTTAGCTCAATCACTGTGCTTGCATCTTGAATTCTTGTTTCCGAGACACAGCATACATCAATGACTAGCAAGTCCAGTGTGAGAGGAAGGGCAGCTTGTTGTCCTGCTTGCTTTAGAGTGCGGACATTGAAGGCGGCTAGATAGACTAGGCAGAAAATGCATTGCAATTTCTATGGAACAAGTCGACACTTGTTCCGACCCCCAACCTGACCAGGAGACTGTGTTTATCAGACCTTTAACCATTAACCAACCTGGTAGGAGAGGCTCTGTGAGTGCCGCGGGTACAACCCTCCAATGGATCGCTGAGATGCGCAAATCGTCACACCATGGTGAAGTCGTTTCTTCGTGATGGAGCATGATTCTCACTAATCTCTTTTCCGATCAACATGCACAAAATAATGCGAGCACCTGCGACGGGCATCAGACTGATGCGACGATGGTTTTCGCATGAGGATCTTGCGCCCTTTCTGAAGACCGGGATGACGGTAGAGGAGCTCCACTCGTGGTGTTCTGTTACCGTCCCCAATTTTCTGAAGTACGGTCGGGGGCGAGATGACTGAAGTGGTTGGTGCGCGAACTTACTGATCGGGAGGTCCGTGGTTCGAACCCGATCTCTGCCCCTCGAACTCCCCAGCCTAGGCTTGGGCAACTTAGCAGTACCCCAGCCCTCGTGCTTCCTTCTGGTGGTATGATAGACATCGAAAGGGTACTACAGCTGAACAAATTAGTCATCAAACTATTCACCAGCAACTTAACACCTCCCTTGAAAGATGCAGTATGCAGACGATCCAGGCCAGGTGCCTTCTTGCATTAAGGTATCGATAGTCTACGCTGGATTTCTCATAGTCATGGCGAGCTGATGTCGACATTTCATTCGGGCTTGATGAGTTCTTTCGGCGGGTGTTTTGAAGGAAACCAGCTGAAATATTGCTTGAACTGTTCAGCCCAAGACGACACTGTGAGGGGACGGTTGTTCCGTCTTTTGCGCACATATTATCGCCGACACTTGTCTCCTCTTGACCGCCTGATCGAATCAGGGCGCCTCTATTGCCTGCAACGAAAGAGTTCTTCATCGCCTAAGCGATGGAAATCCATCAACGTTTTCTGTCAATCTTCAGGCTCCTGGTTATTCGGTGTTCAATCTGCGTTCGCCATCAAGTTGCTGGTATGGCGTTTACAGCAGCAGTACGATCTGATCTCGACTACATTCAATGAAGATTTAGTCGAGACGGATGGCTCGGACAAACGTCTCTGAAAGTTGAGGACAGAGCTCCTAATTCGTTTCCATTCAAACTACAACCAATCTTCTTCATCCTCATCCCAGTAGCACTCTATCTATCACTACCATCGTCACCGACAGCACTATATCAGTGCTTCGTGGCCGTAAACCCATGATTGATTTAAAAGCCTAATTTTGAGGAAAACAATAAAAGCGGAGGGGGAGAACTAATGCTACCCCATCATTCATTCTATCATTTAGAGGTGCCTACACATCCACAATGATCCGCTGGGCATAGTACTTCGAGAAATTCAACTGGCCACCCACTAAATCCAATCCAGAATCCTGGCTTTCAACGGAAAGGTGGACCTTCAGCCTCGGGAGTGTCCGTGTGTATCTCTCTACTCAAGCTTCATCGCGCTGCTGGTCCTGACCACGTTCTACCTGTTCTTTTCAATGATGGCGGTGGACTTCTCAGTCAGCGTCCGTCTAGCCAATTTGGGCCTACCTGGGAGAAAGAGATCGCCCCAGACAACTGGAGTGCATCAAATGTAGTGCCCATTCCTAAAAAGGGTGCTCGCAGTGAGTGTGGTAACCACAGAGGTGTTAATTTGACTCCTGTTGTGACAAGGCTTCTAGCGTCTTACGGTAGCACGCGAAACCTTGACTCTGAAACGAAAGCCAGCGGTTGCTCAAGTTTTCTTGAAAAATCCCTCTCGGGGTCAGACTCAATACCTGCTCGGTTGCATGGGGACGAGCCCGCTCGAGGACGCAGGTAAAGCATTATAGCCACACTCCTGAGGCAGCTGCGTGCAGTAGGTCCCTTTGGGCAGAACCAGACTCTTTGGTTTTCCTACTACTATTTACCGTGCTCAACTGAGAGAGGGGCGAGCACAAAGGTGGATAGCCTTTGGCTCAGCAGACGGGAATGAAAATGAATTAGGGAAAGTATGGATGCTGTCCGTGCAACTCACCTTCCGGAATAGGGACCACATGATTCTCACTGTGCCAGTGAGATACGGCTGCTAATCGATGTCAACGGCTTTCTTGTCATCGGTTTCTATCTTAATTGTCCGAGCGTCTGAAGGTATAGGAGCCTCAGGCCAGCACTAGGTCCCTTTCCATAACTCCTATTCCCTTCTCCTAAATAAGGTTTTTAAATAAACCATGGTTATGCGGCAGTGAACCATCGGATAAAAGGTCTGTTCGCTCAAGGGCAACAAGCGGGTTTGCACCACCACGTGAGTAGTGACATCCTAATACCTGATCGGTACGGCCTCCATGGGAAACGTTTGGGCAACCAAGATCATGACGGCAAAAAATGGACAATTGTTGACGACAATAAACGTTTTGGCAGTCGTTGTAGATCTTAGCGCCAGGGCCGCTCTCCCTTCAGTCTTTTCCTCTTTTAATTTAGGGTTTTAAGTTTTATTATATTAAGTTTGTGTTTTTATGACAGTGAATTATCAATCTACAACGAGGATTTACAGTCCCCTCAAAAACGTATTTTGCTGTATAACGTGTTGAACGCATACTATTTGGAGCGTCTTGTCTGGCAACCACAGGTTCTGTCAGTGATGTCCACATTGATGAATGACCCCCTAGAAAGGCTTCAGACACGCCCTGGTCCTGTACGACCTCAAGACAATCCCCAACAGGCCAGTGAGACCAACTTCAGTCAGGAATACCAGCAAAGCACCAATTAGCTATTTAAAACGAACGTCGCCCCATTCAGGAATACTGATTCGTCATGAACTCTGCCAGCCATGTTTGAAACTATCATGATGTCCTTATTTTATCCATCCAGGCGTCTATATGCCCGCTCCGCTGGGGAATTTGACAGGTGGACAAGCCACTACACATCCCGAAAAAATAAAAAAAGTCCACTTTTATATGAGGACAGATACGCCCCACATACTTGTGCGAATAGACAAGTATGCATCTATAAAGCTGGATAGATATTGGAATTCGAAGGAGCTGTGGCCCGGAAAAAACTAAATCGGTCAGCCAGCGGTCATCTAAAAATCTGTCATAGAGCTAGTTTTTCCCGACCCTTCCCCGGGCATCACAACGAATTGCCAGCTTTCAGACAGCCTTCTAACCAGATCTTTAGTTTTTTGTCCTAACCCAAGGCGGGTGAGTGAGACCATTCATAAGGTCGCCAAAGTCAATGTCCATTCAAAATTGAAAAAAATCCTTCCGAACAATCTTCTCACCACAAGTGCCTTCTTTGAATGCAGCAGTCACTGCATCAGATAGATTCCAGTGATGGGTTTCCAGTAATGAAATGCAGTATTCAATGTCCTCGATCCTTGTGAGAGCCTGCAGAAGTAATAGGGGGTTCACTTAAGTATCACGCCAAGTGTTCAAATAACATCTAACACTCGTAGTAGAACCCCTACCTGGAAATCAGCCAGGACAGCCGCCCTGTCCATCTGAGGTGAATGTTTTGAAAACAGCTGAGCGGCGGGAGCGTATGCCTTCAATTAGGCGGTTAAAACAATCTTGTCAGTGGTTGGCAGTGATTGGCAAGTCACTCGCGATTCACTCCGCACACACGAAGCCTGGAAGCCAGAAGTCTCGTATCCATGCTTCACCCCAGGGCAGTAGGGTCGTAATGACCACAGTCCGGGGAGATTGTACTATTTCGAAGGACAGTTATTTTATCATCCAACGTTGGACAAAGTAGATAGCTGGTGAGTGTGTTTCACGGATTCACGGATTGATACACAGGATCGAGGCTTTTGCCCAAGTTTCCCGGGTCGGTTTTGTTCTTGTCGGTCAGTGGCTGTCGTTCACCTGAGAGGCACAAGTGAAAAAAGGGTGTAGCACTGCTCTTCATGTTCTCAGCGCGGGGCAGTATGCTCGCCAGCGCGAGGATTTGCATAAATAAATGTCTAATAGTGCTTTAAATTGGGTTCGAGAAGGAGCGTGTACAACCGTCGGAGGGAGGTCATTCCACGCAGCTACTACCCGAAATGAAAAAAAGTTTTGTCTAACGGATGTGTGTGCCCTGAGCTTGAAGATTTTCTTACTATGTCCCCGCCGGGTGTTTGCTGGGTCAACGGTAAAAAACCTGTTTGCCAAGCTTTGTTCAAACANNNNAGGGCATGAGAACCACATGGGGCTTAATTTGTCTTCATTTCACGCTACCATTCCAAGTCCCTCGCATCCCATCCAAAAAGGATGCCTCGGAACTAAAAACAACGCTTCCTTCGGTAAACAGTGGTTGGGCCCATGTCAGACATGCCAACAATCACCTAAACCCGGTAAGTTTGATCTGCTGTTTTCAGACTTCCGTTGCATTACGCACCAAGTCTTTGCGTAATCGCTACAGCCACCAAGCTGGCTATGATACGGTAACCCCGGTGGTCAGTGGTTTGAAAACCTTGTGACTCTTCCATGGTTTGTGCGCATTCTTTTGCCAAGCTAAATAACAAGAGTGTTGAACTACATTTGCTTTCAGCCTCCTCAAAATGTGAAAGTTATAGTTTTACGCCTGGACTTAATGAGGCACATTATGACCACGTGAACAATCGTCACCACCATCCAACAATATTCTGTAATGATATTCACGGATTGATACACCGGATCGAGGCATTTGCCCAAGTTTCCCGGGTCGGTTTTGTTCTTTGGGATGGCCTTTTGAATGCTGCCAGCCCGCTCCAAGATTGCCTGTACGTCGGACGGGGAAGAAAGAGTAACTAGAAGTCCAAGGGTTCGCTTACTTCCCTCTTGGCGTAGCCATTCTGCGTGGAGTGATTGATCAGGCTTGCTGAGGATCGACTGTGCCAGCTTCGCTGGCGTGATTTTTCCGGAGAACGACCCCCAGATTATCAGCCTGTTTTCCCTTAGGCGTCTTTCCACTAGCGACGCTGTGGCGGTTTTTATAGCCGCGTCAGAAAGTTGTATGACTTTCTTCTCAGCCATGGGACCCGGTATGGACATCGCGAGGTATTGGTTCAGCGAGGAATGTTCCTTGTCGACTTTCGCCCAGGTCGCTGCATTCTTAGCGCCTGAGTCCTCCAGTGCCTTCGAAAGACGCTCTAATTTCGCGTCGAGTATCCCGATTAAAGCGGAACACTGGCAGTGGTCTTTCGGCATCTGCACTGGGGATTGGGTACCGTTTCGGGGGACTCTTCTCTTCGCTGCGGTATGCATTGCACCCTTGACATAGAGGCAGCTGGCACAGACAAACGGGTCAGGAGAGTTGGCTAGTCGGCTTATTTGGTCGTCCTGTAAACCCGTGCATTTGAAATGCCACCAGGCCTTGCAGGCGTGGCATTGCATACCGCGTTTGACGTTCGACGGGCAGCCATTCCGCCCACATCTATTGTGGTCTACCAATGGCTGCGGAGGGCGATCGGTATGGATTGACGTCATGTTTCGGACTAGATGTAAAATAGGTGTGCGCAAAATATGAAGGGTTATCAATCAAATGTCTTGTTAGAGTAATAAAATTCAACAATTATTCGTGTGTACTCTGTGAATAGATTGAACAACGAAAAAAATTTTCACGAATTTGCAAGAGGGAAAAACGAAACCGATGTTTGTTTGTGAGCTCTAGAAAACACACAGGGCTTCCACAACAGCATTCTTACTGAGCAGTGTGGTTGCACGTTGGCTTAATGCCAAACCTTTTAGAGGGAAAAACGAAACCGATTAGTGTTTGTGAGCTCTAGAAAACACACAGGGCTTCCACAACAGCATTCTTACTGAGCAGTGTGGTTGCACGTTGGCTTAATGCAGCGCAAACCTTTTACGAGGAAAGTCTGGGGCACAACGCTCAAATGTCCGCACACACCCCTCCCCATATACACGCACACCAAGGCAGCTCGAGGCTTGATATATCTTTATGTAGACGGACAGCCGGAAATATTATGTGCACGCTTCAGTTCTACACATACGTGTGCCATTTGGGGGGTCAGTTTTACTACGGTTTGCGTTGCCCAGCGGTACATTTATCCCGCTGATTGACGCACAGAACTGAGAGTATTCACCAAGGTTAATGGGCCAGATTTTAGCCTGTCTTTCAGCGCCCTTGGCCTACCTGAAATACAAAAGTGTAAAAGGTCGCGCCATTCTGATTACTTTGCGCATACCTGGACTTGTGTTGGCACCACAATCAGGCGCATGTAGTTATGATGCTAAATACAAACTGGTAAATTACACTCCGTGTGCCGGTTTTATTCCAGAAGACGGTTAAATGGATCATTGATCGCCTCGTTAGAATGCTTGTCCACAACATCCGCGCCTGACCTGTCTTCTGGCTGCCCTCAACATTTAGCTGGAGGCCTATCGGGGTCAATGTCGTTCGGCCACTGGTATTGGTTTTCTCCCTTGTGATCTAGCTGCCGCTTACATCCCCAGTTACTTAAATCACCGTCACCAACAGTATACTGGTTGCGATCGCTCTCAAACTGTCTAAGTTCTTCATTTCATAAAGCCCAAGTTACATATCCTAGCGGGCCGATTTGAGTCTTTCCGTCCTGCCCATTGAGGTAGCTATCCGATAACCGAGTGAGTTTGGCTCATTCACTTAACCAACAATTTGACACGACTACGTCCACTGCTCCTCTTTTTCGGTCATTTTATTCTGACATAGACAGTGACTTTGAATGGCTTATTTTGTCTCAATGGCCACCTCTCCATCCCTGCCACGATCTACGGCCCAATCTGATGTGCTCTCGGGTGCTCGTGAATCGCTGGGACGATACTCCTGGCAAGAACCATCTGCTGTTCGCCAAGTTTCTTTGTGCATAAGGCTGGAAACCCGAGGACAGTCAGGAAATAAGCTGGCCACCTCTCCATCCCTGCCACGATCTACGGCCCAATCTGATGTGCTCTCGGGTGCTCGTGAATCGCTGGGACGATACTCCTGGCAAGAACCATCTGCTGTTCGCCAAGTTTCTTTGTGCATAAGGCTGGAAACCCGAGGACAGTCACGGAAATAAGCAACCATTTTTACAATTTAACCAGGGGCCCATGTCTTGTGAGCGCGGTAACGGATACGTCTTGACTCTTCCTTTCCGCTTTGGGAAGATTCCATGCAATAGCCTCGATTGACTAAAACACCTCCTATAGCAGGTACAGTCAACTTCACATCACACGGGTTTGTGAAATTGCTTGGTCACCAATGTATCCCTCAGAAACTTGACGCGTACAACTGTGATAATTACATTGGTGTGGTTCACGACAACTGAATAAGGAGATCGGTCAAAGTCGCACAATCGCTCCACCATCGCAACACCGGCGGTCTCACTAGTTATTTGTGGAAACGGTCAGTCGTGCCATCCATGCGGTGCCTCCAAATACTTTCTGAAGCGGCCAGAATTTCTACTGAGTGTGGGTGTGTAAAACGCCCCACAATCAGGCAGTTTTGTGTGCAACTCAAATTGTGTTAAACCTATTGGTGTTCTTTTTTGTTAACAACAAAAACCACTGAATAAATCAGAAGGCAAGAGACACTAGTAAAGTCTGTGTTTTGAGAGCGTGAATTTAAAACAACTAGGTGCACCCTAATCAAGTCGAATACAATACCAAAAATGGAAAGGTTCAAAGGGAGGACTTATCGTTCCGAGTGTAAGTTGTAATAGTTCGGCGGAGTTCGTTTGGGTGCATGTAATCGTGTTTTTTCTGGCAGATTCACTGCTACACGTTCCTGGTTGTCTGCAGTTTTTGGTGTGCTGAGCCGGTCTGTGTTCTGACGCGCGCGTGATGCGTGTGTGTGTGCTGACCGTGTTCCGTCCTTAAATATATGTCGTTGCAATGCGTGGAACGTGAAACCAATGATGGGAAATGACCTGGCGTTTTTCAAAAGGTCATGAACGGGAGTTGACATGTCGCCACGATGTTCTCGCGTGATTGTGAGATAGTAGGCGCCGGTGTGAATTTGATTGGAGGAATAATTAAGCAGAAGGGTAACCGTTACAAATACTCCCCCCATTAGAGAGGGATTATATAGGCGCTGTCATCAGTCAAGGTTACAAACAAGTCACGTCTTGTCTCGTGATGCACGTTGTTGGATTTCGAACGAAACAAAGTAGGAGGGAGACAGTGGGTGCGGATGCACTAATCAGACAGGAAAACCGCTACAAATACTCTCCCTCTAACGCAATGTCGTAGCAGAGGCGAACAATGGGTGAACCGTTTCATCGCAAGTAGATATAAACTATTCCATCAAAATTTGACACATTGAACGTCATAGCGACCGTTTTTCTTCTTGCTGTTTATTCTCGTTAATGGGAGGGTATTTGTAGTGGTTCTCCTGTCTGATTAGTGCATCCGCACCCAC